TCAGTCTTCAGTTTTAACAGTTGGCTCTTACTGGCAGACAGATCTCTGGCAAAGACTTTGGAACCCTGTTTCCGCTCGATCGCTTATTCAATACGAGCAGTATTAAAGTTGCGCAAGTCTCGCCGCATGCATTTGGAGATCGGTCTGTTCAGTTGCCTGTATGCTGTCAAATCTGTTGACGATTGTAGCCTCATCTACCGTCTAACAGCCATGTAATTAAGAGTGTGATCGGAGAGTTTTTGTGTTCTTCTGCGGCGGGTCTTGCGGAACTTAGCTCCAACCGCATGGACAGTTTTCACGAGTTTGTCATTCATATCGTCCACTGCATTTCAATCCTCTAGGCACTGAAAGCGGTTCCGTAACTGGAACTGAAAGGTTTCGGGATTCTGGATTAGAGCACGAGGGGGACGGAGCGTTGACGTCATTAGGCGAGACCTCTCCAACTTGACGTTTAGGTTCAGTGTGCCTCTAACCATTCGGTGATCACTGCCAATTTTCACCCTTGCGATCACTGAGACATCACTGAACAGTTTCCGTCTGGTCGTCATTATGAAGTTAATCTCATTTTTTGTCGAACCGTCGGGGCTCGACCAGGTCCACTTCCTGTGGGGCCACTTCTGGACGAAAGAGTTCATTATAAAGAGTCCCTCTTTCTCCATAAAGTCAGACAGCTGCTGGCCCCTACGGTTCCCGTTACGTTACGTTCGTTCCGTTGCCCTACTCCAAATTTCCCTAACTTCAGCTTACCACTTTCTCTTGTGCCTTTTTGCGTTGAAGTCTCCCATCAACACCATGTAGTGGGTTTTGGAGGAATGCATGGCTCTGGAAATATCCTCATACATTTCCTCCGCCTCCTCATCGGGATGTGCCGAGGTTGGTGCGTAAACCCGTATGACCTTCAGCGAATACCGTTTGGTGATTCTGAGTATCAGGTACGCGACCCTCGTCTACACACTCCCAATCTTTACAACGTTGTTGACGAGGGGCTTGTGGACGATAAATCCGACACCTCCTTGGGACAGATGGTTGCCCTCCCGGTGATAGAACAAGTTGCCGGACTCGAGGATTACCGTGTCCTCCCCCTCTCTTTGGACCTCGGATAATCCAATAATATGCCAGGGCAACTTGTCTACCTCTTCTTCCAGCTCCAGTATCTTCTCGTCAGTCCTCAGGGTGCGTGCGTTATATGTTGCCAGGTCGAGTCGTGTAGGTGGCAACCGAACCCCACCGAATACCCCCCCCCCGTGGGGCTTTGCCACCTGCGACGGGGGCAACCGCGTTTTTTTATTAATTAAAGAAATTCCAACACCCGAAGGAAAATGGGGGGGGAACCCCCCCCACCCCGAACTCTGTAGTTGGATGGGAATTATTCCATCCTCCCCGCGTGATTGAAATGGTTCAAAGGTGTCAACAATCCACTGCACCAGGTTTGGCCTTATTATCTTTGCAGCCCTACACCAGTCCTCATTACAAGGCCTTCGTAGGGCTCTGAAAGAATTCAAGGCTTAAGTCTTGTGTGACCCTGGGAAATGGGTTGACGCTAGTAACTCCAATGTTTCTGTTTCACTATTAGTGAAGTTACCATCCAGCTTTTTAAGAAGCTCGATCTGATTAGGTTTAGCTTTCGATGGCATTTTGTGAAGTCTCGCACTGCGAGGCAAAGACTCAACTTCCTCGCATAGCTTCCTCCACGATGCTCTCTTGGCTTTCCTAATTTCTTTATTATATTCAGTTAGGGCTACAGCTACACTATAAATATCCCATTCTTTAGTTTTCTTAGTCCTATTAAATAGTATCCTGATCTTTTCCCTAAGTTCTTTTAGCTTAGTATTCCACCAAGGAACTTGAGTTCGCGTTGAGGTCTTGGTTTTGACGGGACAACTGCGAAGTCTTCACGTATACCTACGGTTACTGTCTCCGTCGCTAACTCCAGACCTTCAATTGTTTTGATGCTTTTAGGAAACGTTTCCAAATTCCTCCTTAGGCCATCTGTAGATATCCCAGGAGGTCGTTTTTGGATCCCTAAAAGTAACGGTTTCATAGGTTGGTGATGCTCCAATCACTAACTAAATGTGCTTGTGATCAGACATTGAGTTTTCGCTACTAACGTGCCAGTCATTTATCCGCCTGGACATGTTATTGGTAGCAAAGGTTACGTCTAACACTTCTTGCCTAGCACGCGTTACAAAGGTTGGCGTACAACCTGAGTTGAACCACAAAGTAACTCACCTCTTATGTTGATGTTGGTGCTTCCCCAGGCTGTGTGGTGAGCATTAGCATCACAACCCACCACAAGTTCGGCGTTGTGTTTTCGGGCAAACTCCGCCACTCGCTCTAACTCGATGGTAGGATCTGAGTTCTCTCCGGGAAGATAGGCTGAGCAAATGATTACTCTGGCTTCTGTGCATCCCTTAAGATTTATGAAGGCTGTAACTAGATCATCACTGCAGTACTCTGGAACAGCTAAAAGTTCAATATTTTTATTATAAATTATACAAGCTCTGGGTCTACTGCCTTGAGTATTGACAAGTATCTTACCGACAGCCGCCAATCCCAGAACTTGACCGTTGGCCACCCAAGGCTCTTGTATAATGGCGAGGTCAATATTATCCTCTGCAAAGCAAACCTCCACCACGGCAGAAGCAGCTGCTGCATGGTGAAGATTTGCTTGGTGGACCCTGGTCTTACCCTTGGGTTTAGCCATTTATGGGCGTGGGGGCCTGGGGTCTTTTCCGCCTGTTGAGGATGAGGAAGTCCTTTAGCTGCGCACTTGACCCCCGCCTTACCTTTCTTCAAACTGCTCCTACCTCCCCTCTCTCCAGGCCTGGACGACACCAGCGGAGGCCATCGGAGGCCATCGAGGCAAAATCTACGCCTTGGTTCTTCGTCACTCTCACCGGAGTCGTTCCAGCCTCACCCCGAGAGGTGGAGAGCTGGGGGGATTGGAGTTGGGGCGGTTCGGGCTCCATTGCCACGTCAGAGCATCCCCTGACTTTAAAAGTTATCATCTTAAAGCCAAGGACGACTCTGCAGCCTCCCTTCCGAAGAGCCTCTGCCGATGGGTCGCCCAGAGAAAAGGTTACTAAGAACCCATCCTCTTCGTCCCTACGGTGGAGGATTCTCCAGAGATTCTCTCAGTATGGTGCCCTTTATTTTGTGCCCTCAACAGCACAGCCGCCTTCTTTGGAGAGTCGGCTTCGCTGCGGGGCAAGTAGGTAATGCCCAGCTGAGGCTTAGGCAGTTCACCCTCGGGTATTACCGAGAGCTCTGCCTCTGGCCAGGGCTTAAGTTTTCCGATTTCACCCACAATCCAGTCCTGGCTTGCCTTATTCAGGCACGTTGCCAGAATCCAACTTGGCTTGTGGGTGAAATCCGAAAATTTTGGACCCATTCCCGGTTGCGCCCCACAGGCCGTCTTAGCGACGGCCTGTATTAGTGCCCGGTGGACCAGCCGCATCTGCTCCACACTCATAGGATTCGAATTGCGAATTCCGATACGCGCAGAGCCAGCTACGGCACTGAAGCTGAGCTTCTTCTCCCCCGTTACCAGCTTCACAGACTTCCTGGGCTAGTCTTTGGGGGACTCTTCCTCAGACCGACTGCGTTTTTTCGTCTTCGGAACTGGGGGGCTTGGGCAGAGAAATTTCGTCCCAGGGCTTCTGGCAGAGAGAGAGGGCCTCTTCGGCTTCTATCTCAGCTGCTATCAGCCTTCGGTACCTTTTCCTTGCTGCCCCACTAAGCTTATAAGGCCTAGCGAACTTTTACTTTTCCCCTCCCTGGTTCGTTTACCGATTGTGGTTCGGCTGCAGACGTTCCAGGTTGGGGCGCAATGTTGCAGGGTGTTGTTGAGGCTAAAAGAGCCTCTTCCAAGCCTACAGCTACTTCCATTAAAGGAGATTTCTCAATATCTTTTACAAAATGTCGGTTTTCGTCCAATTTGTTCCCACGATTAACTAGGGAAATACTCGGTCACCCCCGGCAGAGCCCCGTATGTCGAGGGAAGGGCTAAAAATACTACCCGAATCGCCCTGGTCTCGGGTAGGCACCGTTTGCGACTGGACCCTCCTTTCTCCTGACTCCTCCTGGACTGTACGTTTTACAAGGAGTTTTCTTCCGCGTACGACCTCTCTGTGGAAGAGTTTACCACCGGCGATTTTTCCGGACCGATACGATCTGGTACCTTCAAGAAAAGAGCTTACTCCTTTCTAAAAGGCCGGCAACGCACCTGCAATTCCCCTGGTGTTGCTGGTGTTCACAGGTGGCGAAAGACACTTAACATCAGGTGAACCATATGCTCGTCTTCTATAAAAAAAAATGTAAAATGATCTAAATGTATGATAATTTTGAACAAACCTACGTGTGATACGAAACTCCTTTTTCTTTTTTATTTTGGAATAAAACTCAAGTTATTTTGATCGCTTGGGTGCCTTATGAACTTGAGTGGGATTCGTCATCAACTATCCGCTGGGTTGAGCTGTCGTCAAAATCTCCCAAAACTTCGCAATGTGACGCATTAGTATGTTCTAAATATATAAAAACGAAGATTACGAAAGAAATGATAGGCTCAGAAGGGCTAGAACCCAGAGCCGTAAGGCCAGTTAAATAAAAAAATATTACAGGGAGGAAGGATAGCTGTACGATATATTATTATTACTTTCCTCTAGCTTGCTACATATTTATTTATCTATGCTTTCCTCTAGGAAGGATAGCAGCGATAGCAGTAGTAGAAGATGTTATTGAATTTTTGATAAAAATAATAAATTTATAGAATATTGTACTGCTGGCTTGATTTTATAACGGTTTTTTTATATTTATTTTAAATAGCACCAAATACTTTATAAAACCTATACCGTAGATTTTCTATAGTATTTGATAGTACATTGTAGTAAAGTCGAGTATTCAACCAATTGTTTTAATACTCAAGGAGTTTTGATATTGATTTAAAAAATGAGACCGGAAAATAAAAATTAATAACCAAAACTTCTGTGAAGTAAATGAAAATGGCTTCAATATCAGAAGTATCTAAAGTTAAATCTGAAGAGGACCCATTGGAAGGCAGCAGTTATGTTGATTTGTCGGTCAAAGCTGAGAATAACGAGGAAGATGACGAAGAATATAATACTATGTAAGTATATTGCACTATGCCTAAAAAGCTAACATGGGTATGTGACACTTGCTCCCCAAAGCACTATGATTTTTTACAACTCCTGTTGAGTCACCTTTACTATAACCCTTCTACTCTAATTAATAATATAATGAATCTACTATCTAATTAATATATTTTTAAATAATTTAAAAAAAAACCTCTAATATTTTTTTGAATAATTTGCTATAAGTTAAAAAAGTTACAGCCTATATAAGTATTCTAGTGTTGGGTACAGGCCTCTTATTTCTGAGAGGATTTTAGGGCAAGGAAATTGCTGCGCTGCTCCAATGCGTGTTGGCAAAATTCACAAGTCTTCGATACATTTTTTTTCTTATTTCTCAGACATTCAGGTTTCCTCATGATGTTTTGCCTTCATCGACGAGCATGTGGTAAATCATCATTGCAATTACAATTTCTTTGGTGCCATTGGGGATCGAACCCGGGTTGCTTGCGTACTATAAAATTTACAGCGCTAACCATATGAGCTACCATGGTAAATAATTTGCTATATATATTTATATTAAATCATATTAAAAATATCTATTATATAGCACAATATAGTGTTTTGAGTGGAACACAATTCTGAGACATGGTGTTTGACTAACGTAATTTTGTTTTCTGCAAAGAGTAGAGCAACATAGTGGGAAAATTTCAGTTATTGTTTGTCCATACAGTTGAGAGTGTAATTTTGTAATCTTATCGATAACTGGTGCAGGATGGATCAATGGATGCAGGTGGCTCAAGACCGTGACTTGAGGCATTCCTTGGGAGCAGGTCTATGTTTAGCAGTGGATTTGTGGAGAATCGTAATGATGATTGATAATTGTGTGACTACCGTAACACCTTTTAAGCCTCAAGCCTCACTTTCCACCCCATCGTCCCTGTAGAATTGTATGAAGTCTTAATGTTGGACTCTAGGGAAATGCTTACTACAAAGTCTTCTACTGTGTTCGTCAAATTCTGTGCAATTGTGTGTGCAAGTGTTGAACTCCGAAGAGCTGCTTGTGCCAAATTCCGTGCCACTCCATGTGTTAGTGACAGACTCTAATGAGCCACAGGCATTTGCATGCACTTCTAGTGTGGCTGCACCTGTTGCAGGCTGTTCTTCTGCTGCAGTTTGCGTGGGAATTGATTGTTATGACCTCGAATTTCAAAATTTATTGATCATAAGGAATTTATATGGATGATAATAACCCCTGGGAATGAGGTGATCGCTACCAAGTTGTTTTCTGTTATTAATTTTGAACATATATATTATAAGCTGTTTTTTTCTTCAAAAAAAGTCACGCTGGGTTTCTTCCTTGGTTGGTTCATTTCAGGGCAGAGGTATTTTCTGAATCAGTGGTATGTGAAACAAATGAGTGACTTTCAATAAGTATTAATGATATTCTACTTATTGAAATAAAAATTTCTTTCTGTTTCTGTCCTTGAAACAGAGGGATCTGTACTTTGAAGAACTAAGTAACTTCCAGGTAAGTAGTGAAAAACTGTCACATTGCTGAATCTGCCAACCCCATATCCCTTGTGGTACTTGTTTTTAAACCCATAGTGTTTTTGTAAAATCGCAGGTGTGGAAGGAAGCCCCAAAGTGGAAGAGCTGCATTTACTATAACATCGAAACCATTCCAAGTATAAATATCTTTAAATAAAATAATTTTGAACTGTCTAATTGTTTCAGAGACGCATAAACAGTGCTTAGCATTTACAGAGGACTGAAACCCTGTGAAAAATGTGCACCAATGAATCTTAAACTTGTCTCAGTTCAAATAGAGCAATTTCCCTGCAGAAAAGGAAATTCTACAGCTGTTCCAAAGGAACTTGGTATGGAAATGCAAGACTGACCTTTATTTTATTCAAGTTATGTACATGTTGAGTAATTATTATACTAATGAACAACAAGGAAAAATGACAGTAGTGTCAAAATTAACTATACCTGACTATGTAGAATCAGGTGATACTTTGCTAAAATCAATTTTGTTAAAGATGTTAATATTACTTAGTTATCTGCTTCAGAATGAAGCATTGTCAGGAGAAAAATACTCTGAAATGGTTATCCATATGGGCGGAACATGTGTTGAATTATCAACACTGGTGTGTCTTTCCTAGTGTATTGGTGTTTTGGTGGTGAGTGACGGAGCGCACACAATAGAGAGCACTGTGTTTCAAAGTACAACCCGATCAAGCTAAGTTTGCACCTCACTGCAATGCTTCTCCAATCTCAACCTCCTGTTCCTACAGTTGCAGTCAATACGGTTTCAATCTTTGTTACTAGTACGCACATCTTAATTTTCATTTCCCATTTGTTTAGTTTTTGGATTATTTGTGTTGTTATTTTGTCCGTACCAAGTGCAAACTTAACTGAGTTGTAGCTTAGACGTTTCTTTTTTCTTTATGTTTCATATGATGAAAGTTTTGTTTCATAAAGAAATTTATAAGGAAAATTTTACAGAATAGCTGATTGAAACTGTATATAAAAGAAATATAAAAATTAATTATAAGGATTAATTTGAGGAATTGTTAAAGTGTATAATATGTTTATAATAAATATAAGGTTAATTTAAAATTTTTGTTTTATTTCGTTACAAACCCTTTTATTCCAAAAAAATATTGACAAATTGATATCCATAAGGTAGGTTAAATGTTGTAACCACAGCTACATGGGAAATGAGTGTGAGTGGAGAGCAGCAGAGTTACATGTGCATACTGTATGGTTACTTTTTTTTAAGCCTATCCAACATATAATTTTTTTAAAGCAAGTGACATATAAACTTACATCCTACCTGATGATGAGCAGAAACAGAAACAGAATTTTTTATATTATTTAATATAGATGATATATAATACTTATTGAAAGTCACTTTTTTTATTTACCACTGGTTCGCAAGAAAACCTCTGTCCTGGGAAGAACCAGCAAGAAATCCAGCGAGACTATTTTTTTTAATGAGAGCTTACAATGATGCGTGTTACAAAACAAATTAGAAATAGCTTGGTAGCACTCACCCTTCCCAGGGGTTATTATCATCCATAAATTCCTTAATATTATAATAACCCTTTTTATACAAATTTAGTTTAATAAAGTTTTTGAACTTTTTGTACGTCAAATTTTGTATATTCTTCTTGTATATTATTCTTCTGATTGTCTTGTTTGAGCAACCTATCGAGATCTGAAACCAAATTCAAACAAAGTAGTCTACAGATGTGTTGTGACCTATCTCATATAAAAAAGACCTTTAGGTCTAAGATGGAATGCTTTACAGGCTATAATTATGCTGGTTTTTCGGACCAAAACACATGACTTCTGCTGAGTGACGTGCTGACCTACCCAATTGGACTCTTTTTTTATATAGGAGTAGAGTGACAAACGAGCACACAGTCCACCTGATGGTGATTGCTGCAGCCCATAGACATCTACATGTGACGAATCAAAATGTAAATGCTTTGTCACACGTGGGAACTATGATGGAATGCCTCGTTTCCAGTAAAAAGAATCTCTACACTCACCATACGAAACACAGCAGCGTTAAGCTGCTATTTTACGCTGGTATTTTGTGAGCGTGGTCCTTCCCCGTTCAAGGCGTCTCATTCGTGCTACAACTATACTACTAATAGTAGTTAGGTTGTACCAGTTCTGGCGCACTTGTAGAAAGGTTGTACCAGTTCTGGCGCACGACGTTCGTCGACTCACAATCCTAAAAAAAAAAAAAGGTTTGGCATGCTCTGATCACGAATCTGCGGTCCATTTTTGCGTAGGATGCACGGTTCCGGAGATGAGCAGATCAATTAACTCTTATCTAATTGATATCCGCTACGAGCCTCAATCGTCATTAGCGCTCCATTGTCCTTATCTACTTATCTATTGTTGATTGACTACCGTCATTACTATTATTCGTCAGCGTGTGGGTCGGCTTATGCTATTGTATTATACTCCTTTGTTCCTATCTACAACACTAATCTGAATCATCAATAAAACACATTACCTAATTTTCTTAAAATTTTTATTTATAAAATACAAAATCTTATTACTTATTATCTATAAAATAGGAGCGAAACATCTCATCCACTAAAATATCGTTGTACAATGTGTTCTCTGTAAATATACTCGTAAAACTATGCATTGAACATCCCTGAAACTTATATAGCAAATACATTAAGCAATATTCGCCACAAACTGAAGTCCACTCATTCTGAATCCTATCAACATTCCAGTTCCATCTTTTACAATTTCTTTTAAAAAACTCTAGATGATATCGTACAGGTGCCCGTCCGAATGAATCAAAATATTGACCGACGTCATTCGTATCGATATATAAAGCTACCCAATGTGACCCTGGTTTATCATCTGTATCCAAATTGCATATTATATACGTTGGTACGTGGGTGTACATGGGTAGTTTATTGGCAGCATAAACATTATTTTCTAGAGTGGGTTGAATCTTTTTCAGATGTTGTTGTACATCTAGTGTATCCATAATATTACTGCTATTAGTAGATTATTACAGTACCAATCTACTCAATGACTAATATAGGAATGATCAATTATAGTGATATCTAAATATTAAATTGCTTTCTTTGTGTTATACAAAACGTATTTGAGTCACCAATACACTGAACAAGACACGACAGGAAGGACGTAGGAATGTAGAGATAAGCAACAGAATGTAAGGTAAGCTTGTTGACGCATAAAGATACTATCAATTCTACTGCAGAAATTCTTTAGATTAGAATTATTACTCACTGGTACTATATAAGACCAAGCAACTGCAGTCATGGAGTTAGTGTATGGTCGTTTGACCGCAGTGGATCTATCAATACTACGTTTGTGTTACTTCAACGCATCAAAGGCCATGGATGTAAGTGTTTATTCTATTGACAAACTTACTTTTCTTTCTGTTATTTTCTTACGTGTGTATGATTTAGTGTTAACAAATTATATTTAAATATTATGTGTGTGTATATGGTTAAGCCGTGGTAGCTCAGAT